ACTGGGCGGCATCAAGACAGCAGGCCCTGAGACCCCAAGCACGTGCCACAAGCCAGCAAGATACATTGGTATGGCCTCTTTCGAAGTGAGAGGATCAGCTGCATCTTCATAAATACAAAATGTAAACACCCCCACCCCGAATCAAGCAGCTTTACTTTTGCATACTGCTACAGATATTGTCTTGTAAATGTCCTGTAAGTGTAACTTCCTATCACCCAGCACAAAGTCTTAAGACATTAGCAAACTCAATTATTTTGGTAAATTGACACAGGAGAGGATATACAGTTACAGGAGAAAATCATAAAGCATCATGTATAATATGTACATCTGAATGTGCATATAGCTGCAAGAAGAATAATCTACAAGATACATAATGAGATTATCAACAAGGGTACTCTAAAAATAGTCTGTCTTGTATTTTTTTCAAATCATCAAATGTTTATATTCAAGAATCACAAAATAAACAGCTAAAATAGAGATCAACCATAAAAACATACAGGGCTAAATGACATAGTTAATAAAAGTTTACAATGTATATTAATATTAGCCTCTAAAAAGGTAATGAAATTCTGCCTATGTTTTAACTATACAATATGCCTCACTCTAACATTTTCAATTTGTCCCACAAAACACAGTAGATCCTCAAGAAATTTAGGGATTATCTCTTAAAAAACAGAAACTATGGTCAAATATTTGCCAGACTAAGTTAAATTAAAACTTAGTTACAGACTTATGTGACCTTAATCTCAAAGTTTCTATACTGAGGGGGATGATTACTATGGTTGACTGAATTTCCAGGAGCTGTATTTTTAGGTTTTTTGTAGTGCAGTCATCAGCGAGAAAGGAGGTAGAAAAATGATCTCACCCCTTCATCCAGCTGGCAGCATAAATCCATCTTCTGAGGTTGTCATATGGTCTGTGCAAGACATGGCACAGGTCACCAGAGCTCCAGCTACCGCCTGGCTATCTTGAATGGTAGCCTCACGGAGGGCAGCTTGACCCCAGTGCGCACTCTTCATTTTAAGCAAAGTGCTTTAACTAAAGAGTCTCACTGGAATTTCTCATTGGACATAACTTTTGACACACCTGGCTCTGATCAACTGTAGACATTTCACACTTAGTGCCCACTTATTTGCAACAGGGGGAGGTTCAGAGCTGAGCTAGCAGATGTGGGTAAGAAATTCCCAAGCGGTGAGCTCTGCAAAAGCCATCACTGTACGGACCGGGCCGGGCCCCCTCCCTGGAGGCTCAGCGGGTTAAAGCACAGCACTAAGAAGCTAAAGCCACTTCCCCATGAGTTTAATCCCTGCCTGCCCCGGAGGTGACCCACGTGGCGTGGCAGACCTCTCCTGACCCGCCCGCTCCTCCCCTCAGCAGTGTCCGTCGTCGATCTGCCTGTTCTGCTCCCCGCTCTGTGTGTGGTGAATCCTCTCACCATCCCTGCCCCTCTGGCCTGTACTCCAGTTCTGTATCCATAAATAAGTAAAATCTTTAAAAAAAAAAAAAAAAGCCATCACTGTAGACTCCAGGTGGACTCCATTTAGTGCTTTAGCAACATGGTCATCACTCCACTGTAGTCTTGCAGGAAATACCCCTCTGGCGCCAGGACTTGGGAGTAGGAAGCTACTCAGCGAGGCCAGCCGACTGCCACCTTCATTGCTTTTTGAGCATGGCCCACTCCTGCTGACATGAAGCCATCTTCCCACAGCCTCTCCCTATAGCCCTCTGCCACCTCAGTGGAAGACATGACAAATAATCACTTTCTTTACTCAAAAATCACCTTTCCAGCATCTTTAACCCTCCTCAAGTAGATAGCTTTGTGTAACAAAACATGGAATTGAAGTCTGTCTAATGGACTTGCTCCTATAAATCAAGAGAATGACAAGAAACAAAATTTCAAAATGTATGGTCCCTGAGGGAAAAAGGAAAAAGCACAGGAAAAAAAAAATAAGTATACTTGATACTTTTGCAGTCAGTTTATAGAGTATTGAATTCAATTTTCAACTACTTAGTATTTCTGAAGTTGCTGTCACTCCTAGAGATGGTAGTTAATAAGAAGGTACCACACCATAAATAAAATACAGATTTTAGGTTCAAGTTTTGATTGCCACAATTTAGCATATAACCTTTGGAAAATTCTCTGAGCTTCAGTTTTCTGATCTACAAAATGATAGTAATAAAACTCAGATTTATTAAAGCAAACATATGTAAAATAGTGAGAGTAATGTTGGGTACAAAGTATACATTTATCAAAATAACTATGCCCACACAGAAGCCCTGTATCACAGTCTTAACAAAGACAAAGAGGTGAGCCGGCCTGCAACACAGATCACCTCTGCCAGCTGGCTTGATGGGCAAGTTTCACAAGCTTTGAACACAGTATGTTCCTGCTCTTAGGTTCCATGAGGTCACCAATACCATTCCACTGGGTATTTCTACACAAACATCAATGCTGCTGTGCCATCAATACTGCCGAGATCACACCAGCCAAAGAGAATGCCAACCACAGTAGCACAGTCATGCTCCGCTTCCACCAGTGGCTTCCGGGCAGGCTGAGCAGCCAATAATGCCACAGTCCTGCCCGTCTTCCATCCCCAAATTAAAAGCATATGGTGCTCATAATTTTCCCTATTTACAAAATCTTTTATGGAGGGGCTGTGTGAGGAGAGGCACCTGTCTCTTACCCATTACTTAAACATTCATTCCTCTCCCAGGCATTTTCCCAGTTCCTACGCTGTGCCAGGCACTAACTAACTAGTCCGGTATCAGGGAAATAATCCATGTCTACTTGATGCTTTTCTGTTACTGAGGTCACCAATCTAGTGAAAGCTCAAGAATACCAAACATCATGTCCATTAGAATAGTCTAGGCACTCTGAAAATTAAGATTTATTTTTCTAGCTTTCTCAGCTTTTATATAAACTTCATATAAATTTTCTGCAGAGATCCTTAAAGTCAAATAAATCTACTGAAATACACCTAAATCAGCCTTATTACTTACATCAATGCTGCTTATCCCCACCTGTTTATCATGTTTCTTTCTTTAAAAAAAAGCTAAACAGCAAATATAGTACTTTCTATTTTGATTTATTTTTATTAAGATTAAAAGTTCAATGAACAGAAATAACTGCAGCAAAACCAAGATGATTTGTATACATAAATCTAAGATTAAGTATTATAAATCCATGCTTAAACCCTTCACACAACCAAAAAATAGCAAACACATTTAACCTCAAATTAAGTTGACATGCACATAGTATGTTCACCTTAGCACTTTAATAAAACTGAAAATGTAATCTAATCTACAACCAAAATTTTGGTGTCTCAATTTATTATTGCATGCTTGCATTATGTGCATCTTTGAACCCTTTCTTATTTGATTAAATAATATAAATTAAAAATAAAGAAACTGAGTGAACTCTTACTGCTTGTGGATAAACACAAAGTAGATAAGAGAAAATAAATGCTCCAACCACCAGAGAAAAGAAACAGAAAAACCATGACAAGGGTTTTTCAAAGGTCACAAACAAGAAAGTGTGACCATTTCCAAGGATTAGTAACCTGTAGCTCCCCCTATGAACAACGTAAAAGTGTAAATGCAGTAGCAGTATTAAAATAAAATTTAAGATCACTAATCGATCTAGTCACCAAACATGGTTTTGAGCAGTTTACGACTAATTTAATGCTCACAAATGCCACAAAATATATATGACATCATTCCTTCCATTTAACGGTATTGAGAAGTTAAGGCATTTGCCAAGTTATAAAGTTGCTAAATGACAGAATCAAGATTCAAACTTAAGCAAACTGGTCAGAGTTCATGCTCTTAATCATCCTTTCTTCTACCAAAGAGCACAGAAAATGCCCATCAGGACCTCAGTCCCACCTACTGAAACCAGAACGCATGATCTCTCACACTACTGCTCCCAGCTCCACCCCACCAGTGTCTGGAGGGGAACGGAGTGGGGGTGGGAGCCCCACGTCAGGCATTCACAGAGGCTACCCAGAGGGAAAGCCATGTTTTTTCAGCTGGCTGGGAGAGCAGCTTGTTACACCGACGGCTATACTAACCTTCTGGTGAAGACTTATCTGCCCTCCCTCAGGTTTCATTTCATTATTCCCGAAAACTAATAAGCATTACCTCATGCCAATGCACCCGCAGGGCAAGCATGGGAAACAAGGCCCAATGGCACCCCAAGATTGCTACTCCACTATTCAGAACATGAAGTTTCTTAAAGAGTCTAATAAAAGACTTGTTTTTTTACATAACATCCAAATATGCTCAGTAAGATTTCAAATACTTGCATAAAAGTATCTTTAAACTCAGCTGACAAAAAAAAAACAGTAAGATTCAAAGATAATAGTTTCACTTTGACACTCAAAATATATGCTTTTTTAAATCTAACTTTTTTTTTTACACAGATAAGAGATTCAATAGCCTGCCCAAAAGGTTCAGTGAATAAAAAGGAAAACAGAACAATAAAACCTTCCTAAAAACAGTATTTAAAGTAGATATTTTTTAAACTATCAAAACACAAAATGATAGGGAAAAGGCATTACCATAATGCAGGAACAGACTTTAAAGAAAAATGTACAGAATATATGCATCAACAGTAAATATTGGTGAAATCTAAAATGAGTCTCATATAGCTGCATGTCATATTTTTATATTTATTAACACATTTGATGAGTATAAATATATACAGTTATTCATCTAACCTCATTTAAATATCATCAAAAGAAACATCTTCAGTTATTCAGACTTTCAGTTACATATTTTTATATCTACAGTATCACATATAATCTGATTGATTCCCAAATAGACAGCATCTCAAATGGAAATGCCAAGCCAAGTTATCATAATGGACCCAGTGATAACTTTAGTTGACAATTAACAAGGGAAAATCACAACACCTTTCAACGAAAGACTGGGTTATATCATCAAAATACAGAAGGGCAAGTGAATTATCCCCATGATGACGCCTCATTTCAAGGACTTACCTTCTTCTTGTCCCTCATTGAGCCTTTGCCCCGGACCATTATTTTACATCCTGTTTCTGCTTCGAGCTGTTTAGCAGTAAGTCCTCGAGGTCCCAGGATTCTCCCAACAAAATTAAACTGGAAAAAAAGTCATCATACATTAGTCACTTTCTTGAATCTATAGTTAAAATTAATGTTTCAGTATATATTAACTTTCTCAAACTTTTCTAATACTCAGTCAAAATAAATTCTTAGAGCCTTTATGAATTTCTTAGCTAGTATGGGGATGTCATTAAAATAATTCATGATTTAGCATGAAATTTTCCTATGTATTAATATTAAGAATTAAGAAAAATGGCATCTCCCTAAACAGGTAGTAACTGAACTGGCTGGCTACATGTAATCTAAAGCAAATTTCAGAGTCTGTTCAAGAGTTTGACAAAATCTTAGATGTCATCGAAGACTGCAAACCTTGGCAATAAAACTCTATTTAATGATGATGTTTAGGGACCTTCTCATCACATTAAATAGAGGGTTTTTTTGTTTGTTTGTTTTGTTTTGTTTTGTTTTTTCCTTTATGGAAAGCTGAAGGGGGACATTCCTGTTTAGAAAGCTAGTTTCTCCAAAGCAAAGGCTGGGAAACAACTGTACTTTGAGGTTGGCTGCCAGGCCTGAAAGTCAAACTTGAATTCTTCTAATGTTTAAATCTGAGAGCATACTCTTTTTTACCACATTCCTTGCACAATTTTATGCTTGTATCCTCAGGAAATGCTTCCAGTTTCTCCTTTAACAGAATATTTTTGCAAGAGAAGCCTTAACTCTTTTCATAATTACAACAGTGATAAACAATGGTATAAATGAAGAATTATCATCACCTCCTGGACAGAAACTTCTAGCATGAACATGTGATTTTTTGAAAATGCAATGGGAAAACAGATTGACACTGGATATTAAGAGGTAAATTTTTCTCACTGACATGTCATCTGCATAAAAGACAAAAAAAGGGCCCTCCCTGGTGGCCCAGTGGGTTAAAGCACAGCACTAAGAAGCTAAAGCCACTTCTACATGAGTTCGATTCCTGCCTGCCCTGGAGGTGACCACATGGCGCGGCAGACCTCTCCTGACCCGCCTGCTGCAGTGTATTTCGTTGATCTGCCTGTTCTGCTCCCCACTCTGTCTCTAGTGAGGTCTCTCGCTGCCCCTGAGCCTCTGGCCTGTACCCCGGTTCTGTATGTACAAATAAATAAATCTTTAAAAAAATGAAGATTTACCAAGAGTTTCATAGAATCCCATGGGTGGTTTCATGTACTTATTCAACAAATAGGTACTTGATCCTTGGGCTTACAGAATCTCACTGTTTTCTGGTCTTTGGGGCCTCTTTAAGTATGGCATTACATCACAGCCCTGTGCTAGAACTAACCATGACCAGGGCTTAAGAAGTAACATTGCTAATGCTAAGTGAAATACATCAGAAGGCTAAATCCCACATAGTGCCCTAATGTGTGGAAAACTGAGATGCCCAGCTAAGTCGGACAAAGCCCACCTTGAAAACTGCCTACAGAACTGAAGCATCCAGAGGGTCGGGCGGGGGCAAAGCAAAGGGAAGGGCGCACCTGGCTGTGGCTGTGGCAGGCGCACATGGTGGCGGCACCTGATGGGAGTAGCCAAACATTACCTCAATTAAAAAGAATTTTTTCAAATGGGCAAAAAGAAGCAACAGTGCTTCATCACTCTTCCATACTCCAAAGTTTCTTTCTTTGCCTCCTGAAAGTGCTCACTGCCATTCCAAGTTTCACAAGCCTATTCCCAAGCGAAACAGCAGGCCAGCACTGAGGAGAGCAAGCCCCCACCCTCAGCGATTATGACACTTTTTCCAGACCAAGCTGAGATTCACAGACGCTAAACCTCCAAACCCTTTGGTGAGAGCCACAGTGAAATTTGTCTGAAATATGCCTTTTTTTTAAAAAATTCATACAGAACTGGGGTACAGGCCAGAGGTGCAGGGGCAGTGAGAGGCTTTACCAGAGACAGAGCGGGGAGCAGAACAGGCCGGATGACAAAATACACTGCTGTGGGGAGCAGCGGGCAGGTCAGGAGAGGTCTGCTGCGCCATGTGGGTCACCTCCGGGGCGGGGATCAAACTCATGTGGAAATGGCCTTAGCTTCCCAGTGCTGTGCCCCACCAGGGGAGGCCCTGAAATATGTCTTTACGTTCAATATTAAATGCCTTATCTTGCCTCTGTCTTCCACAGAACATTTTATGTGAAATCCCACTGCCAGTTTTAAAACACACTTACTTCCAAACTAGAAAATCCTTCTCACGTTCCCAATCTGAATAAGCTCAAATACCATGGATTATGGCTAAGTGGTTAAGCTCTGAAAACACAGATCCAGCAAGAGACCAAGTTCTAATACTAAGTAAAAGTCAAGAATGCAGGGCCCTCCCTGGTGGTGCGGGTTAAAGCACAGCACTATGAAGCTATCGCTGCCACTGCAGCATGAGTTTGGTCCCAACCAGGGAGGCCACAGCAGACCCCTCAGCAGTGTACTTCATTGGTCTGCCCTGTTCTGCTCCCCACTCTGTCTCTGGTGAATCTTCTCACTGCCCCTGCACCTCTGGCCTGTACCCCACTTCTGTATGCATAAATAAATAAATCTTAAAAAAAAAAGTTAAGAATGTAAAAGTCACATCCAATAAGCTCAGCAATATGTGAATGTAGCTACACAGCAATGGCGACTGCGCTACTGCAGTACTAGCTGCTGCCACAGTCCGCAGCAGCAATGCCCAGGGCAGCACCTCCAGTGCACCAGCTCATGCTCACTACCCAGAGGAGCTGGATGAGAAATGTGTGTGCGCGCAGCACAGCACGTGTGCAAGGCTTGGCGCAAGCTGTGGCACACAGTAGACAATTAGTAGTCTACAGAGTTCACTAAACATTCATGTTAGGAAACTTCAGGTCCCAGTCAACCAATCAGCCTAGAATGCCCACGGGTGGGGCTGTGATCCCTCGCAAATACATCCCAAGGACTCAGGAGAGTTGACAACAGGACACCAAGTACTACCAAAAAAGAGCAAAGGAAACCTGTACTGACACATCCCACAAAACTCCAACTCAGGCACCTCACTGGCAGGTAAGTGGCGCGAGTTGTGTCTATGAAAACCGGGAAAAAGGAAAAAGCAAAAAGCCTCCACGCTGCAGTCTCGGGGGGTCTCAAATCCAAGCTGGCAGTGCACAAGTGCAGACCGTGCAAACACACTCCTAATTAAAATCCTCTGTGTGTCCTATTCGTATGAGGAGACAAAGAAGGTGCCAGAGACTTGAGGGTGGCTCTACGTGAAAGACGGGACACAACAAAGAAGCCGGATAAGGGGCTGCTCCTCTCAGCAGACTGTTGGTGACGGAGACTCTGCAGTGGACGCGGCCGGGAGTGGCACCAAACCAGCTTCCAAAGGGCTGGCCCGTGCCGCTGCTTCGCTCCACTTCCTCTCCAGCACTTCTTGTTGCCAACACTTATTCTGATCATTCTGATATATCTGCTGAATGTGCGAATTAGCATCCCCTTGAGTGATGGTAACTTGACCTTTCTTTCATTTTTCTCAACCACAAAGCACAACTGAAGTTCCCAGACTATTACTCCACCGCGTTCATGTGGCTTCATCTTGAAGATGTCCACCTGCGATCCACACGCGGGCAATGCTTCCACCCTGAGGCTTGCCCCCTGCTCGCTACTGCGTCAGATGATGGCAGGATTTAATCAAAATGAGTTTAATTAAGTTACATTTCATTTTAACAAACATCAGGGTGTTGGTCTTCTCTTCATGGTTAGTATTTTCTGGGTTGTATTTAAAATTCTTCCAACCCAAAGCCATCAAGATACATTTAGGCATTAACTTTCAGACCTTTCACTATGACTCTCACATTTAAAGTGCACAGGTTAAGAGTGAACTGCTATCTGCAGAGACAACTTTTTTCTCCTCTTATGTTGATACCCAAATGCCACAGGACATTTTAAAGAAAAGATTCTCCTTTTCCAATTCTACTGCAGCACCCATCACTGCCATGAAAACTATGTATTTAAGAGTAGAAGTCTATTTCTGTGTTCTCAGTTTTATTGCATTAATGTATTTATCTTTGCTTTAATATCACCATATCATCTTATAATAAACCCTGATGAGCAATATAGCACATTTAACATCTTGCTGTTCTTCAACAATGTCTCACCGATTTATGATCCTTTATGTTTCTATACAGACTTTAGAAATACTCTATTTCTAAAATAATACTTGCAATAATTTTATTTGGGATATTACAATATAGCTTTCAAAACTACAAACAATATAATCACCCCATTTGGTTAGACTTCCTTTGATTTCTCCCAGGATACAAACCATTTACACTAGAGTAATTGTTTGCTTGTCAAATTTATGCCCAGGTATTTCAAGATTTATTTTTGCTATTGTAGCTCATCTTTTTCTTTCATTTTGACTATACACTTGACTTTTCTTAATCAATCAAAAATTGTACCCAGCAAACCTGCTTTTCATTATTAGTTCTCATACTTTTTTGTATGCTCTTTAGGGTTCTTTAGATAATACAATTGTATCGTCTGCAAATGACTGCTAAATATATTTTTCTTTCCATTCATATTTTTAAATTTCTTTATCTTGCCATCCTTACGCCACTGACCAGTACATGTATCTTGAGTTCAAAGTCAAATGAAAGAGTACTATCCTTGACTTGCTTCAGATTCCAAGAATAAAGCTTTCAACCACTTACCATAAAAATTTTAAGTAATATGCAAACTTTTGAGATATATACTTCCAGATTAGAGAATTTCCATCCTCTCCCTACTTTGGCAAATTGTTTTTTTCTTTAATCTCACTACTGGATGTTGAAATTATTTTTTCATCATCTTTGAGACAAGCAAAATATTGCTCCCCTATGCTGTTAATGTAGGGAATTACAAAAGATGACCAAACGCCAACCTTATATCCTAAAATAAACTCAACTTGCTCATGACATCTCATCCTAATTACAAACTGCTCTTCAATTTGCTAAACTTGGATGATGACTTAAAAATGTTTACATTCACTGAACTTAACAATGGAGGTGAAAGGCACAAGCACTAAGACATTG